CTATCAAATAAAGGGCCACTGCCTAACCTGTCAGCTACTTTTGGCTCTTGTGCACCACTGCAGGGACAATTGGGTTCCTTCCTGGCCACGCACGCTCGTGAGGATGGGCATCTGAACGGTGCGCGGGTGTACACAGTTAGGGTGCGTATCACCTTTACACGGCAAAACACGAGGTCACGTGGTGCCGACTACACCACTACCTCGAGCGCTGTGCCGACCTAAACAGGCGCTCCCTTACAATTCCTTTCCCGATGGGTCCAATTAGGCCGAGCGGACGCGCTGATCCACAACTTGAATATTTCCCCGTGCTCGGTAGTGGAGGGTGAGCTACGCACACCAGCCGACGAAGGTTCCCCTTCCCGCTCCACGGTGCAAGGGGGCGCGCGGCTGTCACAGACGTCACAATACATGGGGGGGGCATCGCACGTGCGTCGCACCGTCGCGGGCGGTAGCACTGCGCAGATCCGAGGCACAAACAGGCGACAAAGGCAGGCGACAAACGGCGTCGTTTTCCCAACACCGACGATTCACAGGAAGGCATCCTTGCGAGACGAGCGAGGGGCCATGCGTTTCACCCTCCTCACGTTTATCGCTGCCTACGAGCATGGCGCGGGGGGCTGCATGCAACCGACTCCGCGTGTGGGAGCGCGCGAGAGATATCGATGGACGCGAAACGCCGGAGTTACGGATTGGAGTCCGGGCATCGATTGTCCTATCCTAGGGTATTCATTATTCAGCCCCGGTGTTAGCTCTGGTTGAAAAGACTTAAGTCCCACACCCCCACCCACCACCCCAAAGACGCGATGGCGATTTTTGAGGAAACAACGCGATGGCGGCGGTTCGCGAGTCTGCACGTCGACCGCACGTTGGCACTGCGGGCGCCTGGCTGGCCGAGGGTGAGAGTCGCACCTTTCCCGTTTCGTGGTCCCGCGGAGTTTCGGACCATCGCTCGCCACGGCCGCTGAGAGCGAAAAGGGAGCGCATGGCTCCGTCGCTTGCTACGGCAAAACACGAACGCTTGACTTAAAATGCAGCTCAATGCACATTCACCGTCTTAGTTTGGTCCTCCAGAAATATAAATATAGCATTGGGCAATGGAAATATAAGCGCACTCTCTTTGAAACATATATTATTCTCATTTATGTCTGCACTATATGAACACATTTTCAGGGCTATTTTCTTCTCTCGGCTATTGCTGTAAGGTTCGAGCCAATCCTAAATCCGCCAAAACACACCGGCCAGCTTGTTGATCAAATCAATGGCACGCGTCCGACTGCATGCCAAACGATTTCCTCAACAACCTTTGGCGTCGTAAACATTTGGAGCATTTAGACGCATGGACAATTTCTGACACAACCGTCCTGGAACAGAAATCGTGATCGATTGTGGAAGACCTGTACCCGAAATCATCGCTCCATGTGGACAAAGCCACGGCGCAACGCAGCCGGTGAATGCGGCCAAGTTAACGCGGCCGTGGTAACGCGGCCGCGGTAACGCGGCCGTGGTAACGCGGCCGTGGTCACGTGGCCGTGGTGAAGCGGCCGTGGTGAAGCGGCTATGGTAACGCGGCCGTGGTCATGAGAGCGTAGTAACGCAGCCGTGGTCACGTGGCCGTGGTGAAGCGGCCGTTGTAACGCGGCCGTGGTCACGTGGCCGTGGTGAAGCGGCCGTTGTAACACGGCCGTGGTCACGTGGCCGTAGTGAAGCGGCCGTTGTAACGCGGCCGTGGTCACGTGGCCGTGGTGAAGCGGCCGTTGTAACGCGGCCGTGGTCACGTGGCCGTGGTGAAGCGGCCGTTGTAACACGGCCGTGGTCACGTGGCCGTAGTGAAGCGGCCGTTGTAACGCGGCCGTGGTCACGTGGCCGTGGTGAAGCGGCCGTTGTAACGCGGCCGTGGTCACGTGGCCGTGGTGAAGCGGCCGTTGTAGCGTGGCTGTGGTAACGCGGCCGTGGTAGGGGGGAGCATAACGTGTCAGCGTCCACGCCGACCGCCGCCAAGGAGTTGGCTCGCGTGACCGAACGCACAGCGGCACGGCGCCCCGTGCTGTAATGCCGGCAGGTTGCCTGGGGAAAGTCTGCCTCTGGGTTTAAAAATTAAAACCAAAAATAAGAATAATCTTGTCGTCTACGCGAAACCAGATGGCGGACACTTACCAGATAAATACATCACTGAGCCGACTCCTTCCGCATGCAATCGAACGTGTAGCGTAAACGTTTAGAAAGTGTGTGCCTGAATGCGAGCGTAAAAAAAATACTGTGGTACAATATTTACACAGGCGCTCGCACGCGGAGCATAACAGTCATTCTTTGCATCACATCGATAACTTTTACGCCACTGAAGCGACGGACGATTGTAAATGAACGTGTAAATAAATATCAAAAGGTTACATTTGAACAGAAGCACTTCATGCTTTACACTGTAACAGCTTAGGCTCGGGTTCGTCCGTTGCACGTGCAATGCGAGAAAGCTCACTCGTAATCTCGGCAGGTCGGGCGCGCGTGTCAGGGCATGCCGACGCATTCCGCGCACGCAGCGCCGCTTGATCGGCACGTTCGCGCGAAAGACGCTAAAACCCAGCGAGACGGCCGCATCCACGCGTACGTCGCTCGTCCGCAAGGGGGTCACGCACAAACAAAACGGCTGGCGACGTGCAAGGCGGCGGCAGCGCCGTCTCGTCTCGGCGCGAGACGGACACCGGCGGTGGCGACGGAGCCGCCGTGTCGTGCGACGCTTGCAGGGATGCGAACCGGGCAGCCTCTCCGCACGGGCTGGGCAAGAGACAGGCCATGGCGACCGGAGACCGGGGGCCCCGCGAACACGTCGGTCTGGCCGGCAAGCAGAGAGCGCTCTGCAGTGGGCGGGTGACGCTGGTGGATTTGCATGGAAACACGAAGGTCATAGTAACGCAGCTACTTTACCGCCCCCACCCACCGCCACCGCACCGGTGACTTGGCCCCACTTGTTCTGTAATCCCTGATTTGTCAATGAACGGTATAAATATAAAATTAAACAACAACGACGACGATGATTCTGGTAGAGAACCGGTCTCTGTCACTGAGGTCGATCTTTTTCCCTTTTGGTAAAATCCACTGTGGCGTTGCGGTGGTTCTTGCGGCGAGCGTAAAAGCCCCTCAACAAAGTCTGCAACGACAACCCTGCAACGCCACTCCCAAGTAGAAAACGGAATCTTCCGGAGGGCGATTCGTCATTAACATCTCGTTCCGGCGCTCGGTCCCGAGAAGCCTTGCCCACGCGTCGTCCACGCATTTAGACAAGCTGGGGGGGGGGGGGGTGGGGGCACGTCGTTAACGAGGGGGGGGAGAAGCCCTGCTGGGGAACGACGCGCGGATAGTGACATCGCAGCGAACGACCGATTTATCACAGTGATCCCGGCCTTGCCCTCGGCAACATCGGTGACGAATATTCTCCGCTTCGAGTGTGGCGACATCCGAAGGAAGGTCCTGCTGGGCCGCCGTGCCATCATGGGCACGCCGCTCCTGGACGATGTCGAGCGTCCACCTGGTGCCCAAGCACCTCGCCCGAAATTGATTTTGCTTGCAAATCGTAACTTGGTGGCAAACAAACAACAACAACAACAACAAAACATGTCCAACGGTGGCGACGGAGAGGCGGCCACCTGACGTGCCCCAACGTGTTCCCCAGGTCGTGACCCCCCTGAGGCGTGACCCCCAGGCCGAGTTCCCACGCGAACCCCGGTCATCGTCCTCGCAGCGGCAGTGGCTTTGGCTGTCCACCGAACAAAGACGGTCACCGCATCGCGCGCGTTCAGACGCGCTTCCGCGGCCGTCCGGAACGCTCCTCTTTCCGATATTAGGAAGCCACTGGGAGCTGTGCACCTTTAAATCATCATCGAGATTGAAAACTCACTTCTTCAGAGCCGCTTCTTTGTGTTTCGTTTCTTGTCCCTTCCCCCCGCACCACCGATCAGCGCGGTCGGCTATGCACGGCGCGATAGAGAAGTTCAACGTCCGTACAAACGTACATCGGAAGGAAAGTTACGGCAGATGGAAAGGACGGACGGCGCTGACAGCGACAGTGTTTCGTGGTGCACGTGCAAGAGGGGATGCTGCCGTAAAGTTACCGTAAGGTTCGCGCGTCTTGAAGATGATGATGCGGCAGAAAGTACGGAGTGGAGCGGATATTTTTTTTATAGTTTACCAGGCAAGGCCCACTGAGCTATGCAGATCTTTTTTTCAGAAAGCGACCTGGCCACAAATGATGACAGGGTGCCACGGAGGCTAGGAGATGTTAACTACCTGGGCTGGTACACAGGAAGTCGTGGGTTCAACCCCGACCCTGATGGCTGCTGCTGTATATTTTGAGTATGCATGGGTTTTCCCTCCATGAACATGCATTTAGTGTTTGGCTGCTATAAATGTCCACATGTCATTGAGCTGTCATTTGTGGCCAGGTCACTTCTGAAAAAGAGATACGTTACTCAGTGCGCCTTACCTGGTAATATATAGTTTCTAGCTCAACAAAGTGGCTAATCATGTGGAAATGCATCGCAGCTGAATACTCCAAACGCACGTTGTTTCTAAGTGTGGATATACACCTCAAAGTGCTCTGTCTTTAGCAGCAGCCGTAGCAGCGGCAGCAGCCGCAGCAGTGGCAGCAGCATCCGCAGCATCAGCTATCTGCACAGTCCACACTGCTGCGTCTTCGTTGAACGCGAGGCTAGACAAATCAAATAAATAAACAATCTCGACCTGTGTCTTGCGAGGTGACCCTTAATAAACGAGAGCCATTGAAATCCCTGCACGTTCAGGTGACCTTTACAAAGGTCATTCACTTCTTTCTAAAGCCTTCGAAAAGGCCTGCAGAGCAAAGACGCAACAGGTGCCCGCGGTCAGCCCGTGTTCCAACGTCACGAAGGCCAACATCGAGATTGGAGAAAAAAATATCCGCTGAACACTGAAGCTCTCTCACTCTTCCCTCCCCAGGCAAAGCTTCAAATCTTGCTTCTTTGTTGTCATCGTCGTCTCGTAATTAGGTTTTTGGGGGTGCTCATCAGGCTTGCCAACCGTTCTGGTTCTTCCCACGATCGTCCTGGGACGGCAGCTGCCCTCCCGGAAAATGCTTCGCTCTCCTCAGGAAGACAAAAAAAGGTCGCCCCGCCCTACGTCCACCGCGTAGTGACGCACCACTCGAGACAACGCGGTGCCACGCGGCTCTGCTCTTCCGGTATCCCGAGATATCCTCTCCCTCCTCCTCCGTCCCTCGACGTGTCCCCGGGCCCGCACCTCGAGAGGTGGCGACCGCCGCCCCCCCCCCCCCCCGCCCCGCGGGCTCTCACACGCGCGTGATGCGGTTCTGCTGCTCGCCGGCGGCGCCGAACGGCGCGAGCTCCCTGAGGCGCACGGAGAGCCGCCCCCCGCTCCACGGGCCCGGCAGTTCCAGAGGGCGCGCGTCGTCGGGTAGCCACCGCTCGCGACCGCCTGCCGACGCCACCAGCGCGAAGTTGCGCGTCTCCTCGGCGCAGCAGGGGGAGGCGGGGGAAGAGGAGACGCGAGCCGCCCCGGGGGTCCTCGTCGCCTCCGCCGCCGCCGGCGTCGCCGCCGCCGCCGCCGCCGCCGCCGCCGCCGCCGCCGCGGCGCGACTCACCTCCCGCAGCACGAGCTGCGTCACCTCGCCGGCGGTCGTGCGCCGGCTCACCGCCAGCTGTGGGGGAGAGAAGCGCGGTGTCACGTTAAACTAAAACTAGTTTTTTTTATTTCACCAGGCAAGGCCCACTGATGCTGTATGGCTCTTTTTCAGAAGCGACCTGGCCACAAATGATAGCTCAACGAAGTGGCTTAGCTTCACGTGGACATTTATAGCAGCCAAATACTCTAAACGCGTGTCGTCGACGCTAAATGTGGAGGGGAAAGCCGAAGGACCTGGAGAAAAATCCTTGCGACAAAAGGGAGAGAGACACCGCAAATTCCAAGTGTACAGCAGGTGTCGGTGCATGAGATCGAACCCACAACCTCCTGTATACCGGGCTAAAAAAATACAAAATAGTTAACGTATTCACTGGATGTGGTATCTTCTTCTTGGTTCTTTCGGTAAAGTCACGTAGAATGAGAATAAAACAAAATAAGACAATATGAGTTCTGTTAAATTGCATAGTGAATATACAGCAGTGTGGTATATAGTTGGGTCCATATAATAAGACATAGTGTAATTATCACAAGTCAAATAGTTTATAATCTAAAGTATAGGGTAGTGTAAAGTAACGCATTGTATAATTCAAAGGTGGAATTTGTCTATGATATGATGTTATACCATGTAGTTTAGATGTGAAGATATAATATTGTACTGTATAGTAGTCCAGTTTATAGCATAGTCATGAAGCTGCTCAGGACACAACATCGTACCTTGCTGCACCTGCTTACTTTCTTTAGTCTTTTTCTTCCTCTCTGCCTGTGTTCCCAGCCCCCCCCTCCCTCCCCTTCTCTGCAGGTAATTGCTGGTAACGTACAGACTCATGTTTTAACTCCACCCACACAGCTTAATAAACGCTGTCCATACATGACGGCGTCCATTCGAGCTCTGTCTTCCGTACAGAGCTGTCTCTTCACCTGAAGAAGGCTACTTGTGTTGTGGCCGAAACGTCGTGAGAATTTTATTGTCTTATTTTGTTTTATTGTTTTATTCTCATTCTACATGGTGACTTTACCGAAAGAACCAAGAAGATGAATCCTTGCAGTCACGAAAGCTTTAAATCGAAATTGGATGTGGCATGCCGGGAGTTGAACTATTTTCTGGACACACCTCCCTCTGAAACTTAGTCCTGTCAGTGAAAACCTAACTGCTGTGTTCGAACGTATCCAGGTGGCAATGTGATTTGAGTGAATGCAAATGTGAGTCAGTGGTCTATTTAGAGGCCTCTGAGATCTTGCTGGGATTGAAAAAGTGAGTACCATCGGCTTTCACCTTAATTTACTTGCCATCACAACGGACGCGACCGCATGGTGGGGGGGTGATGAATCGCTCGCAAGCGAGAGCGTGCGCAGAGAGTCAGCTTAACCCCCGTGTGGGCAATGCATTCATCCAGCAGCGGAAATAAGAGATAAAAATCCACTTAGGACGTTCGCATGCGGCTCTACTGTACTCACGTTGACGTAGGCCTCCCTGTGTAGTCCCGTCGGGTACTGGGGGTAGACCCTCAGTACGGTGGCCGCGGGGTTGGGGACCTCGTCCCTCGCCAGCTCCTCCGGCGGGGGCCCGCCAACCCTCGCGCGGTGACCTCCGCCCTCCGGCGACGCTCGAGTCCTGGCCCTGACGCCCCCGTGGGCCGTGGTGTCCGCGTGGGCAGCTCCTGACGCCGACTGCTCTCGAGGGCCCTGCTTGCTTCTGCTGCCCCGTCCCGTGGACCGATCCAAACCGTTGACCGGCTCGGTGACCGACAGGCTCGAGCTCCAGGCCATCCGCTGCCCGCCAGCTCCGCAGTGACCCCTCGACGAGCTCCCGGGCCCTCGGAAGCCGAGGCTTTGGCTTTTGGGGACGCGGTGTCCGCCTCCTGCTCCGCCTCTTCCACCCCACTTGGAACCGGGCGCCTCGGCGGCGGCGGCGGCTTCCACCAGGCCCCGGTCGACGGAGCGGCCCCTCCGGGAGGTCGCGCCGCCGTTGTGGCCCGCGGCCTCGGCGGCGGGCGAGGGGCGCGGCGCGGGGGGCGACGCGTCCCGAGCCGCCCCGGCGGGGCCGCTGCGCGTGCGCGACGGCCTCGGGCCCCCGCTCGGGAACACGCACGAGCGGGGCCGGCGCTCGTGGTCGCGCAGCACGTCCGGGCCTCCGCCGCCGCCGGCGCCGCCGTCTCCGCCGTCGCCGCCGTTCCCGCCGAACCCTCCGGTGCCGGCGACGCTGCCTCCGGCGCCCCCCGCACCGCCGGCACCCCTCCACGCGGCGTCGCCGGCGCCCCCCCCCCGTGCCGCCGCCCCCCCCCGGCGAGCACTCGAGCACGAGGTCGAGCTCACGCGGGCTCAGCGCGCTGCTCGACTCGTAGTCGCTGTCCGTGGGGAGGAACACCTCCGAGGAGCTCTCCTCGTCCGAGAACACGTGGCGGTCTGCCGACACAAGCGCGCTCGTCGTTAGAGCGTTCGTCGTTAGCGCGCTCGTCGTTAGAGCGCTCGTCGTTAGAGCGTTCGTCGTTAGAGCGTTCGTCGTTAGCGCGCTCGTCGTTAGAGCGTTCGTCGTTAGCGCGTTCGTCGTTAGAGCGTTCGTCGTTAGAGCGTTCGTCGTTAGAGCGTTCGTCGTTAGAGCGTTCGTCGTTAGAGCGTTCGTCGTTAGAGCGTTCGTCGTTAGAGCGTTCGTCGTTAGAGCGTTCGTCATTAGAGCGTTCGTCGTTAGAGCGTTCGTCGTTAGAGCGCTCATTGTTAGCGCGCTCGTCGTTAGAGCGCTCGTCATTAGAGCGTTCGTCATTAGAGCGCTCGTCGTTAGAGCGTTCGTCGTTAGAGCGCTCATTGTTAGCGCGCTCGTCGTTAGAGCGCTCGTCATTAGCGCGCTCATTGTTAGCGCGTTCGTCGTTAGAGCGCTCGTCATTAGAGCGTTCGTCGTTAGAGCGTTCGTCGTTAGAGCGTTCGTAGTTAGAGCGTTCGTCGTTAGCGCGCTCATTGTTAGAGCGTTCGTCGTTAGCGCGCTCATTGTTAACGCGCTCGTCGTTAGAGCGCTCGTCGTTAGAGCGTTCGTCATTAGCGCGCTAACGACGTTAGAGACACATTCGTACGCGGTGAGCGTTGCAAAAATTCGTTGCTGTGATTCGCACCAATTGTACGCAAAATTTAAAGTTTAGGATATTGGACCAGGTGAGAGACAAAATGTGTGATTGATTGAAAATGGGTGATTGAATGATGAGGCTCGGACACCGCATCGATCGATGCAGCTCCCACCTGTAGATAGTAATCTCACGGTTCCTTCCTGGTCTCTAAACTAAAGACAGCTCATACCTCGGTGAACAAAGTAAATGCGTTCCATGATGTCACTTCGTTATCAGAAACGTCGTTACCAGAGGTGGATATTGCATGGGAGGCATGGGGAAGCGTTCCAGGACTTCAGTGAAGGGGGGGGCGCTACAATATCAAAACATTGGTGCACAGTCGCCTTCACTTTGTCTGCTTGGTTTAAAATGGTCTGCAGGGTGGACTGCGCCAACCCAAACGGAAGCGTCACTTCACTCTTCACCTCTCCCGCCTCTACCCTCCTTACGCTCGGCATTTTCCGTTCGCAAAGAGATTGATTCTACACTGCGCTTCTTGCCCAGTTAGGGCCTCTCGCGCTCGATTTTCGTCGGTTGGATGGCATAATGGGGGAAGTAAAATCACTTTATGATTGCAACAACAACAAAACACGGTAACATTTTACCAACACAAGGAGCTCAAGCAATGGCAGGTGGGGGAGGGAGACTCGAGAAGCTCTTCGCTGATTGTCTGCTGATGGCGTACGGTAAACAAACCCCACTCGGTGGCGTAAACAAATTGCCCTCTTTCTTCGTCATTTTTTTGGGCAAAAATAGTCGTGGCTGAAGGGCCAACGTAATAAAGGAGCGTCGTTATAACGGAGCTACGTTATAACGCAGCTTTGTTAAAAAGGAGCTTCGTTATATAGCAGCTTCGTTCCCAGAGGATTAGTCGACCGAGGTATTACTGTACATCCTCAATGCTATTGTCATTTCTACGGCGTGACTAAATATCCTGCTCGGGAGTAGAACAAGAAGATGGCATCTCGGCTGCTGTGCTATTGGAGCTTCGACGGAACGAGCGTTGGCAGCCGGGGGAGTGGGGGCTGGGGGGACGGCTGCGGGGAGGAAAGCGTCGCTGTGGCGGCGAAGTGGCGAACGGCGACCGACCCGAGCGCTTGAGCCGACGCAGCGGCTCCGGCGACGGCGCCGGCGACGGCAAGAAGTCGAGGTGGAGCGACGATGAGGAGGAGGAGGAGGGCGGCGGCGGCGGCGGCTTGCCTCCGGGCGGAATCTTGGCGGTCGCCTCCTCCGCGTCGTCCTCGCCGCCGTCGCCGCCGCCGGCCTCGCGGCCGTCTCCGTCGTCGCCGTCGTCCGCCGCGCCGCGGCGCCGCCGGTGCCCGTCCGGGGCGCCGCCGTCGCCAGGCCTGCGCAGCGCGAGCTGCAGGGGGACGCTGCCGCAGCCCGGCGGGTGCTTGTACCGCGCGTGCTGCAGCGCGTCCATCAGCCAGCGTGCCTCCCGCCACACCTCGTCCACCTGCTGCGCGGCCATCGATGACATGCGCACGCGCCAGAAATTCTCGCTCGTTCGCTCGCTCGTTCGTTCGCTCGTCCCACTCGCCTCGTGCGTCGCGAGTTCAAGAAGCTGAGAACCGCTCGCATGAGTCGTACGCGATCCGTCTTACGCGCGCGACTTGACGCGCGCGGAACGAGTAAATGCGTCGGGACGTCAGTTGGGCTGGCACTGACACGTGCATCATACAGACTTGTAGTGGTGGATTAATCATGGTCGACTGCACATATCCGGCACCACACCTCCCGTCCCCCTGCGTGGACCTCACCTGTGTGAGATCCCGTGTCCCCCTGCGGGCCTCACCTGCGTGAAGTCGGCCACCTGCTGCTGCCTCTGCTTGGCGACGAGCAGCTCGTCGTCGGACAGGGCCTCGCGCAGGGCCTGCTGCGACAGCAGCGACTCCAGCTCCAGCCGAGCCGACAGGCGGCAGTAGCGGCCCAGGAACGAGGGCGAGTAGCGCCAGAAGTGCACTGCACACGCAAGCACCGCGGTGGGGAATCGTTGCCCCTCGGGAAGATCACGCCACCAAACCCGACCCTCCTGCACCGCCCCCTCCCCTTGCACGCGCAGCCACGCATGCACGCAAAGTTCTGAATGCGCTCCAGGGAAGGGTAGTATTGTTTTCGGTGTTCATATTTTAAACCTTTGCCGTTCCGATGATGTACATGTATGTCATCAGTTTTTTTTTCTTTCGATTCTGGAATAAAACTGAAAGTAAAACAACTATATCGGCACGTCTTCAGACTATCATGCCACGCATTTGAAGGCGTACCGAGACTCCCACAAGGCCATGTGGGAGGGCATGTGGCACGGTTTGGCACCAGCTATCATAGAGTGCAGTCGTATCACTATGGTTCTCTGCGGTGAGTACAATGCCTTTGAAAACAGCGGCGCTACGAAGCCTCTCAATAAAATTAATGCTGAGCCGCTCGCGTGCATTCTGAGATTTGGCAATGAACGGGACACCCACCCTGCAACTTGCAGTTGTCTTGGAACGGGAAAGGGAGTACAGGCTTAACAAGGCCAGCACGTCCGTGCAGTGCGCTTGCTCCAGCACTACATGTTCCAGTTCAGTTCCCGAAGAATCTCCCAGCACGTGGAGAGAAACATCCACACAGCCACACGCTCTACTATCACACCACACACTTCACTATCACGCCACACGCTTCACTATCCAGCCACACACTCCACTATCCAGCCACACACTCCACTATCCAGCCACACGCTCCACTATCCAACCACAGACTCCACTATCCACACACTCCACTATCCAGCCACACACTCCACTATCCAGCCACACACTCCACTACCCAGCTACACACGCCACTATCCAGCCACACACTCCACTATCCAGCCACACACTCCACTATCCAGCCACACACTCCACTACCCAGCCACACGCTCCACTGTCCAGCCACACGCTCCACTATCCAGTCACACACTCCACTATCCAGCCACACACTCCACTATCCACACACTCCACTATCCAGCCACACTCTCCACTATCCAGCCACACGCTCCACTATCCACACACTCTACTATCCCCACACTCCACTATCCAGCCACACTCTCCACTATCCAGCCACACGCTCCACTATCTACACACTCCACTATCCAGCCACACACTTCACTATCCATCCACACGTTCCTCGACTGGGATCTCTGAGATCCACCAATTTTTCCATATTCAGCGTGGTAACCACGCTGCAGGTTTTGACCCTGGGGTGACCATGTGCCTTTTGTCTGCACGGTGGCCAGGCTCTGGGATTCCCTGCCCCTACGAGGGACTCGCAGTCGATGGAGACTTCTAAGTCCCGGCTGTGACCCAACCACGTGTCTAACGCGGTGGCCTCCTCTCTCTCTAGCTTTCCATCTCTTTCAGTCTTTCTCTCCCCGGCTACGTCTCCATGATATTGCTCCTTTTACATGCACGGCGCTCTGAGATCCATTGTTTACGGGCGTCCCATACATCTGCATCTTGTTTGTTTTATTATCATAAACACGACCTGGACTCGTCCTCGCTCATCGTCCATGGTCTGACGACGTAAAGAAAAATCTGCGGTGTTTCCCCCCCCCCCCTCCCCGGTGGCGGTGAACCGCGGGAGCGAGGGGGTCGTACCGAGCTCGAAGATCTGCAGCGGCAGCGTGAGGAATCCGGCGTGCGGCGTGTACGGGTTCTGGCCCGGCGCGGTGCACACGGCGTGCGCCGGCGGCATGAGCAGCAGGAAGGAGACGCCGTGGCTCAGCTCCAGCACCTCCTGCGTGTAGACGCGGAAGTCCCTCGCCTGCGCAGAACCAACACGGACGCTGCGTTCCCACGACGGGAGAGTCGATTCGGCATCCCCCCGTGCCCAATGGCACAGAGTGATGGGAGTTGTGCCCAGACGGTGATTGTGATTGGAGATGTAAATATATATGTATGTTCAACTTCTTTCACACCGTAAATAGCCAACCGTGCTAATCAGGGGTGCGGGGGATGGACAACAAACTAAACACAGAAAGCAGTTCTCAAGAAATCAGTTTTCAATCTAGATACTGATTTCAAAGTGCATAGCTCCCAGGGGCTTCCTAATATCGGAAGGAAGAGCGTTCCAGACGGCCGCAGAAGCGCATCTGAAAGCGCCGTGCGAAGCGGCGGTATTGGTGGAAGTCCGGGCCAGGAAGCTCAGCGGTTGGCCTATGGATAGACTCACTTCTGCCACGGGAAAGTGGAATTTCCACCATTGGCTCTGGAGGGCTGTCAACAGGAGGTGAGCACCACTTGAATCCTCATTTGAGCCGCAAGGAGACTGCTGTGACCTGGCGTGTGAGTGGAAAACTGGCCGTGGTGTTTCGAAGTGGCTGGATGTTAACAATTTCGTCTGGTATGCAGGAGGTCGTGGATTCGATCCCGACCCTGATGCCTGCTGCTGTATATTTGGAGGTTGCGTGTCTCTGTCCCCGTGGTCGCGTGGATTTTTTTCTGGGTCCTCCCTGATTTTTACCTCCACATGTAGAATTAACATCACCACGTGTTCAGAGTATTTGGCTGCTAGAAATGTCCACGTGATAAGCCGCTTCGTTGAGCTATCATTTGTGGCTACATAGCTCATTGGTCCTTACCTGGTATAATAAAAACAAATAGTTTTAAAAAAATAGTTAAAAAGTTAACAGTCGGTGTCATGATTTAGGACTGTCGCTCGAAGCATCGATTTGTTTTCTCCTCTGGTGAAACAGCGGCCTCTGGTGGCGTGGAAGGCGACCATGCGATCCCATTCACCGAGCAAGGTGCAAGCTCGTCCGAAAAAGCGGCCCCAACAAGGGAGTCTCGACTCGCACACCGCCCTCACCTGCTGCACGGACACGTTGATGCGCGCGAGCAGAGCCTGCACCGCCGCCGTCAGCTGCTGCTGGAAGACGCCCTGCGGACCCTCCTCGTGGCCCGCGGCCCTCCACACCACGGGGCCCGGCCCACCGACGCTGCGCAGCCACGCCCACTCCTCCCTGATTGGTGAACACCGCACGCCCGCCCGCCCGCCCATTATAACGGCAGAGGGAGACGCGAGCCACGGGGGGTGGAAAAACCACTTCTACATTCACTGATCTGACATGATAAACCACTTCTACAATCACTGATCTGACATGATAAATCACTTCTACATTCACTGATCTGACATGATAAACCACTTCTACAATCACTGATCTGACATGATAAATCACTTATACATTCACTGATATGACATGATAAACCACTTCTACATTGCTGATCTGACATGATAAATCACTTCTACATTCACTGATCTGACATGATAAACCACTTCTACATTCACTGATCTGACATGATAAACCACTTCTACATTGCTGATCTGACATGATAAACCACTTCTACAATCACTGATCTGACATGATAAATCACTTATACATTCACTGATCTGACATGATAAACCACTTCTACATTTCTGATCTGACATGATAAATCACTTCTACATTCACTGATCTGACATGATAAACCACTTCTACATTCACTGATCTGACATGATAAACCACTTCTACATTGCTGATCTGACATGATAAACCACTTCTACAATCACTGATCTGACATGATAAATCACTTATACATTCACTGATCTGACACGATAAACCACTTCTACATTGCTGATGTGACATGATAAATCACTTCTACATTCACTGATCTGACATGATAAACCACTTCTACATTCACTGATCTGACATGATAAACCACTTCTACATTGCTGATCTGACATGATAAACCACTTCTACAATCACTGATCTGACATGATAAATCACTTATACATTCACTGATCTGACATGATAAACCACTTCTACATTGCTGATCTGACATGATAAATCACTTCTACATTCACTGATCTGACATGATAAACCACTTCTACATTCACTGATCTGACATGATAAACCACTTCTACATTGCTGATCTGATATGATAAACCACTTCTACAATCACTGATCTGACATGATAAATCACTTATACATTCACTGATCTGACATGATAAACCACTTCTACATTGCTGATCTGACATGATAAATCACTTCTACATTCACTGATCTGACATGATAAACCACTTCTACATTCACTGATCTGACATGATAAACCACTTCTACATTGCTGATCTGACATGATCAACCACTTCTACATTGCTGATCTGATATGATAAATCATTTCTACATTCACTGATCTGACATGATAAATCACTTCTACATTCACTGATCTGACATGATAAACCACTTCTACATTCACTGATCTGACATGATAAATCACTTCTACATTCACTGATCTGACATGATAAACCACTTCTACATTCACTGATCTGACATGATAAACCACTTCTACATTGCTGATCTGACATGATAAACCACTTCTACATTCACTGATCTGACATGATAAACCACTTCTACATTCACTGATCTGACATGATAAGCCACTTCTACATTCACTGATCTGACATGATAAACCACTTCTACATTCACTGATCTGACATGATAAACCACTTCTACATTCACTAATCTGACATGATAAACCACTTCTACATTCACTGATCTGACATGATAAATCACTTCTACATTCACTGATCTGACATGATAAACCACTTCTACATTCACTGATCTGACATGATAAACCACTTCTACATTGCTGATCTGACATGATAAATCACTTCTACATTCACTGATCTGACATGATAAACCACTTCTACATTCACTGATCTGACATGATAAATCACTTCTACATTCACTGATCTGACATGATAAACCACTTCTACATTCACTGATCTGACGTGATAAACCACTTCTACATTCACTGATCTGACATGATAAATCACTTATACATTCACTGATCTGACATGATAAACCACTTCTACATTCACTGATCTGACATGATAAACCACTTCTACATTACTGATCTGACATGATAAATCACTTCTACATTCACTGATCTGACATGATAAGCCACTTCTACATTCACTGATCTGACATGATAAATCACTTCTACATTCACTGATCTGACATGATAAACCACTTCTACATTGCTGATCTGACATGATAAACCACTTCTACATTCACTGATCTGACATGATAAACCACTTCTACATTCACTGATCTGACATGATAAACCACTTCTACATTCACTAATCTGACTTGATAAACCACTTCTACATTCACTGATCTGACATGATAAACCACTTCTACATTCACTGATCTAACATGATAAACCACTTCTACAGTCACTGATCTGACATGATAAATCACTTCTACATTCACTGATCTGACATGATAAGCCACTTCTACATTGCTGATCTGACATGATAAATCACTTCTACATTGCTGATCTGACATGATAAACCACTTCTACATTCACTGATCTGACATGATAAACCACTTCTACATTACTGATCTGACATGATAAATCACTTCTACATTCACTGATCTGACATGATAAGCCACTTCTACATTCACTGATCTGACATGATAAACCACTTCTACATTCACTGATCTGACGTGATAAACCACTTCTACATTCACTGATCTGACATGATAAACCACTTCTACATTCACTGATCTGACATGATAAATCACTTCTACATTCACTGATCTGACATGACAAACCACTTCTACATTCACTGATCTGACATGATAAATCAATTCTACATTCACTGATCTGACGTGATAAACCACTTCTACATTCACTGATCTGACATGATAAATCACTTCTACATTCACTGATCTGACGTGATAAACCACTTATACATTCACTGATCTGACGTGATAAATCACTTCTACATTCACTGATCTGACATGATAAACCACTTCTACATTCACTGATCTGACATGATAAACCACTTCTACATTCACTGATCTGACATGATGAACCACTTCTACATTCACTGATCTGACATGATAAACCACTTCTACATTCACTGATCTGACATGATAAACCACTTCTACATTCACTGATCTGACATGATAAACCACTTCTACATTCACTGATCTGACATGATAAACCACTTCTACATTCACTGATCTGACATGATAAACCACTTCTACATTCACTGATCTGACATGATAAGCCACTTTTACCTTGCTGATCTGACATGATAAACCACTTCTACCTTGCTGATCTAGTCGAGGAGTATAAACCACCATCACACAAACTCCGGTTATCCTCTCAACAACTTTTGGCGATCCATGGTACAAAGACGGCCACAGCATCGCGTGCTTTCAGCATGCCGCTTCTGCTGCCGTCTGGAACGCTCTTCCTGCCGATATTAGGAAGCCACTGGAGCTATGCACTTTTATAATCTATATTGAAAACGAATTTCTTCAGAACTCCTCGTTGTGTTTCGTTCTTCCACACCTCCGATTAGAAAAGTTGGCGTACGGAAGGGGACCCCCCCCTTCCATTTAATTTCTTGCAGCAGGGCCCAGGCCAAACTCGCCACACCACTGCGTGTGAGTGGGAGTGTGCTGGAGGGGGTTCAACCACAGCGGCTGAAGTCTCCACTGCGGCTCAGTGGCGAGATGTTAACTCCCTCACCTGGTATACAGTAGGTCGCGGGTTCAATCCCGACCCTGACGCCTGCTGCTGTACATTTTGGAGGTTACAAGTCTCTCTCCCCGTGGTCGCGTGGATGTTTCTCTGGGTCCTCTGGGTTCATCCCTCCACATTTAGAATCAACATGACGCGTTTAGAGTGTTCGGCTGCTATCAATTTCCACTTCATTGGGCTGTCGTATGTGGCCAGGTCTCTTCTGAACAACAACTATACAGCTCAGTGGGCCTTACCTGGTAAAAAAAAAAACATATTTTTTTAGAATGGGTGAATATTAGCAAGCAATGCCTCACTGCCAGACAAATCCAAAAGCAGAGTGGCTCCCATTGCGGCAAAACGCAGCGCGACTGCACCACCACGCCGAGGTCACCCACCGTGACACGTTGGGGTTGTCGCGGATCTTGGAGTGGCAGAGCATGTTTGGCATCTTCTGCGTCACGAGCACCTTGATCTGCTCCACAGAGCTGCACAGCTTCAGGTAGCCCAGGTAAAGGCCCGGTTCCAGCAGCTGGCTGCTCATGCGCTGGTACGACACCTTCTCCTGTGGACGCATCGACGGGACGGAAGGATGAGTTCAGCTAGCCAAGGCAGACGCACGCTAGGGCTTTCCACAGGGGACTTGTGGCCAAATAGCTTCAAACTTCTCACATTTGCTCACCTGCCAGAGCTCTGCTGTCTCAGGTTAAGCGCTGAGCTCATTTCAAAATGACAGCAATCGGCAAACCCCTTTCCGTTATGGTCACACACCAAGAGCAGGACGTTTCATGTGAGGTCGGCAGGGACCTGGGTATAAGGTGACAGGGCCCAAGCTATTTTCCTGACTTCACGTTGTCCCAAGTCAACCATCATTTTCTCCCGGCTCAGAGAAAGGAAGGACTGACTGATTCCGGGGCTCATCTCCGTGTAAATTAATATTCGGTTTTCCCAGGGAGGTGAATATTTGTTCCTGCCCACGAACAACTGTTCTGCTCAGTTCTCGTCATGGTAAGGACCCAAATGGTTGGCCAGAAAAAGTCAAATACCATTAAAACAAGCAACTGGGTCACGTAAGTCTATAAAGCGGTTTTAAAATTACGGCTTTTATTCGAAAATTCATGGGTGTATTCATATACTTATATACACGTGAAGAAAGATTACTCTCTTGCCATGCCAAGGTGGGGGGAACGAACGTTCACACCGCTGGGAGAACCGGCGTCGCTTGGCACGGCTAACGTTCCCGTAGCGACGGCGCTGGCGGCTACCTGCAGGGTGATGATGAGGGCCTCAAGCGCGGACGGCTCCTCGGGCGTGGAGAGCGACTTGCGCTGGCTGAGCAGGCGCGACACGGGCTGCCAGCGCAGGCCGCCGGGCGCGTGCTGCAGCGGCTCTGACACCTCGCGCAGCGTCAGCAGCACCGCGTTGCCGTGCCGATCCTTGAGCGGCTCCAAGTAGGCACGCCCGAGGTCGCTCACGCCCAGCGCCGCCTGCGGGGCACGGGCTCTCGCGTGTCAATCCTCAGCCTCCCTTCTCCCGAGCTTTCGCAAACGCGCCGACCGACTGAACCGCGACCGTGGCTGGGCGGTGAGATGCGCGGCCCTCCGTGCATCTCACCGAACGCCGTCGGAACGGGATCGGAAGAAAAAACTGACGACGTACACGGACGCACGTACAGCTGATGATGATTGCTGGTGTTGCGGTCGAAACGTCGTGAGAATTTTATTGTTTGATATTTTTATTATTTTATTGTTTCCCTTCTACGTGACTTTACCGAAAGAACCAAGAATATAGTTCGAAAGAAGTTCAACATAAGTGGTTTTTACTCTAAACAAAGATTTCCCCGTGGAGCCTACACAGACTGTTGGGGCAAGTGACGTTAACGAGCGGCACATACGCTAGCCAGCGATGACCCCTGATCCCACCACCCCCTCGCGCACACCCCCTCACCTGCATGTGCGAGACGGCCACGAGGATCTTCTGCCGTGCCTGCAGGGCGGAGGAGCACGACGAGAGCGACGACATCACCCTGTGGCGGAGCCAGTCCACGTCGTCCCACATGCACGAGACCTGCAAGTGGCACCGAGGCAGCAGGGCCGTGAGCCGAGCGTGAACGGGGTGGTAGGGTGGCAAGGCGGTGGGGTGGCAGGGTGGCAGGGTGGCAGGGTGGCAGGGTGGCAAGGTGGCGGGGTGGCAAGGCGGTGGCGTGGCAAGGCGGTGGGGTGGCAGGGTGGCAAGGCGGTGGGGTGGCAGGGTGGCAGGGTGGCAAGGTGGCGGGGTGGCAAGGCGGTGGCGTGGCAAGGCGGTGGGGTGGCAGGGTGGCAAGGCGGTGGGATGGTGGGATGGCGGGGTGGCAAGGTGGTAAGGCGGCAGGGTGGCAAGGTGGTGCGGTGGAAGGGTGGCGGTGTGGCAGGGTGGCAAGGCAGCGAGGTGGCAGGGTGGCAAGGTGGAAAGGTGGTCAGGCGGCTGGGCGGCCACGCGGCTTGACGGCCGCCGAATTCGCATTCACATACACCGAGAGAGATCCCCCCCCCACGTCCAGCGGCTGAACAGCTTTGTTGTCGGCATAGGCCGTGATCTATCCACTGATGGATGAAGCCATCGGCCCACCTCTCACGGGCCTGCGATGCCGCAATCGATTTAGCGCTCGACGCGTGACCCAGTTTCGTTACTCTTTGTCCGTGGTGGAATCCCTCTTGGGAGCATTCCGCCCCTCCGTGGACTGCCGCTCCGTTTAAGACGGCTCGCCATCGTCCCTCCTAGCGATGTGTTTTTTTCACCCCAAGCTCGTGATCTCTCTACCGTTGAGTCTGTTCTCTATTCCGCGTGTTCCACTTCCACACTCGCTCACCTTTCAGCCTTATGTTCCCCTGTGTGAAGCACAAATTAAATGTGTACGCACGTCACCCGACACCCGTAGCGCAAGCTTGATCATCGATACGAATCGATACGACATTCCGCCCCTAGTGCAACGTTGTGCTTTTCGTTCGTGTTGCCATTTCTTAATTTGTTTATTCTTTTGTTGATTTTGCTTGAGAGATGGGTTTTCATTCGCTTGGTAGTGGCTGTATATGAGATTTGGTCCCCTTATATATCAATGTACAGCATTGTGGGATGCTATTGGCATGACACTATATAAAATGAAAGTATTATTATTATTTGGACTGAACGATCTGGGGGAGCCATGGGTGAAACTAAGGGACATCTGTGCAAAAGAGCTTTATAGCTCATCGGATTCCTCCAGTATGAATAAATATTCTGACTCTGATTATCTCTCACCTTAGCGAACCAGAGGAAGTCCTGGGAGATGGAGCTGGAGCAGGAGTCGTCCACCTCCAGCACAGGCAGCTGATCCTCCTGGGTGACGAGGACGCTGTCCCCGTCGAAAAACACCGATGCCAGGTACAGCCCTCTGTCACACAGTCACACACACACAGACCAGGTACAGCCCTCTATCACACAGTCATACACACACACAGACTAGGCACAGCCCGCTGTCACACAGTCACACACATACACACAGTCACACACACAGTCATACACACACACACAGACCAGGTACAGCCCTCTGTCACACAATCATACACACACACAGTCACACACACACAGTCACACACACCAACAACAATAACCGCCATTCGCCACTAAGTGGCGGTGACGTCACCACGACGCTTGTGCCAGGCCATGTGCACCTTGAGGCCACGTGAAGTGTCGAACGCCCGCGGGCAGGAGGTCACGGGGCAGACCCAGGTGCCACGGGTCGACTGACTGAGATGACTGGCTGGTGCACCACCTGTGCCCCCTACTGTGCCAACCTGCTGTGCTTTAGCCACCCAACGCTCCGCTCATTGTTGTGAGCGTCGCTCCTCCGCCCTCCGTTGTTGTTGGAGGGCGACTGCCTCCAACTGCCCAATAGCGTCCTTCACGAGCCTCCTCCACAGAGGCCGATCTTGACACCGCTGGTACCAGTCATCGGCAAGTCCACTCAGCTCCACGTCCTCCTGTACCACATCACTCCATCTCTTCTCTAGCCTGTGCCGCGCCCATTTAGCCCCCTCGATCCGGCCGAACAAAAGCTGTTTCAGCATGCGGTTGCTGGGCATGCGGGCTACATGACCCAGCCAACGCAGCCTTGCCTGCCGGAGGAGCTCACCGATGGGACCTTGCCCAGATATTTCAAGGATTTGTGAGCTCCTCACACAATCCAGCCTGGTTAAACCCAGGATGGATCGTAGGCAGGCCAGCCTAAATGTTTCCAACCGACAAAGTTGCTCCATTTAGGGGGTCCACGTTTCGCAAGCGTAGAGAAGGGAGGGAATGATCGTGGCCGAGAAGACCTGAAGCTTAGTGTGGAGCGACAAACCAGGTAGCTTCCACATAGCGTTACGCAACCGATGAAAATATATTGCCGCTCGACTGATTCAGAGTGAGACCTCTGCTGTTAAACTGGAGCCAGTCATAAGCACACTGCCCAGGTATGGGAAACTTTCCACTCTCTCCACAACTGCCCCATCACCGATTGGGAGTTGTGGGGGTGGAGTGTCCGATGGTACAAAATACCCAGGTAGGTGCTTAGTTTTGGTGGGGCTGATGGTAAGGCCCCATCTCTTAGTGGCACGCTCCAGTCTCAGCAGCAGCGTCTCCAACTCCTCCTCTGAATCAGCAGCTATTACCAAATCATCGGCATACATAACGTGGTTGAGCAATAGGGAGCCATCCTTGACCGCACCCGGGCATCGATCAGCCTCCCATTATATCTGTACCAAATGGAGATTCCCCCAGTACAGCTATTGAAGGCTTCACGAACTACGTGGTCAAAAGAGATGTTAAATAATGTGGGAGCCAGAGGACATCCCTGTCACACCCCAAGGTGTATAGGGAATGGCTCTGACTCCCGGCCACGTAGTTTTACCCGGGCCCGCTCAGCATCATGAAGGTCCTTAATGATCATGAGCAGAGGGTCAGGGACTCCAAAAGCACGAAGAACAACCCAGAGCCCAGGCCTACTGATGGTATCATAGGCCTTGACCAGGTCAATAAAGCAGAGATGTAGGTCTTGTTGGAATTCCCTACACCTCTGCTGTAGCAGATGGACAGAAAATATGGCATCTGTGCAGGACCGCCCTTTCCTGAAACCGCAGTCACATACACAGTCACACACACAGTCACACACACACATACAGTCACACACACACAGACCAGGTACAGCCCTCTGTCACACAGTCATACACACACACACAGTCACACACACACACACAGACCAGGCACAGCTCTCTGTCACACAGTCACACACACACACACAGACCAGGCACAACCCTCTATCACACAGTCACACCCACACAGACCAGGCACAGCCCTCTGTCACACAGTCACACACACACACACACAGACCAGGCACAGCCCTCTATCACACAGTCACACACACACAGACCAGGTACAGCCCTCTGGCATACAGTCTCACACACACACACACAGACCAGGTACAGCCCTCTATCACAGTCACACACACACACACAGACCAGGTAAGCCCTCTGGCACACAGTAACACACACACAGACCAGGCACAGCCCTCTGTCATACAGTCTCACACACACACACACAGACCAGGTACAGCCCTCTATCACAGTCACACACACACACACACAGACCAGGTAAGCCCTCTGTCACACAGTCACACACAGTCACACACACATAGACCAGGCACAGCCCTTCACGATCGTGAAGCGTAACTGATCCAGCCTGCTTCATCGCGACGAGACACGGTTAACGAAGAGGTGAGCTGCTGCGCACGCGGAAGAAAATCCTCGCGGCCTCACCTCTTCATGGTCTTCACGAACTTGGTGTTGGAGTGGAAGAGATGCTTGAGGCTCTTGGAGACGGAATGCTTGCGGCCGGCAGCCTGCAGTTTCGGGTTCGCTGTTGCGAGAGGCGGATTGATAAACAAACGGGACCGCAGACAACGACCCCCGCGTCGCCACTCGAATGTTGTACCCCAGTGGGCGCGTGCCGACTGAAACTCATTCAAGCAGCGTGGAGCGCGTGTGAGATCCATCGTATCGTTCAGCCACAGGGGACTGGCTTCGTGGCCGTTATTTATTAAGGAACCCCCGTCTCTCGTATTCACCAGCACAGTGCATCGCGGCTTTTGGAATATTGAAGGTTTTCTTTTTTTGCGAATTAGAAAACGATTATCTGCTTGTTAGTTTGGATGGCCGACCCCTGGTCTGCACTGACTCTGAAGAGACACTTGAAGGTTAACTCTCCTCCCTAAGGGCTACCTGGCGCTTTATTAAAGGCTTGTGAAATATCGAGGCTTTTTTTTTGTCACCGAATTCTAAAAAAGTCGCTCTGGTTGTTATGTTGGGTGCTGACCCCTGCTTTAACGTGAAACAGTTTTTTTTATTTTTTTTTATTGTTAGATCACGTGAATTAAAATGTGTCGTAAACCCACCTCCACCCGACACAACCCATTTGCACAGGTTTGTCACGTGGAACAAAACGTGCCAATCAGTTGCTCCTTCAGCACCGCCGGTTGCGTGTTAGAGGGGTCGGTGTTTACGGCACATTTACAATCACGCGACCTACGTGCCTGTTAAATAGTCCCTTTTAATGGTTCATGCCAATTGGCAGGGGTGTGAGCCCAATCGTGCCCCCTTCCCTCCCCTTACCCCGTGGGTAGCAGGCCACTGTACCTCTCTCCCATACTGCCTGTGCTTCTACATCTTTAGACCTCCTTTGCCAGTACCAAAAAGGAATAATAGGGGTTTTCCCCTTTTTTTCTGGCAACAAAACTGAAACCTTTTTACGAGGATTCATGTTACTGCAATAACCACAATACCTGCAGTCAAAATGCATGAAGTCAAAATGCATAAAGAAAGCCATCCCTTGGTGCGGACCAATCAGTTTCAAGGACAATGCATATATTATCATAGTATGCTTTTTGTTTGCATTTTGACTGCAGGTATTGTGCTTAATGCAGACATGAATCCTCGTAAAAAGGTTTCAGTTTGGTTTCCAGAAAAAAGGGGAAAAACCCTGTTATCATGCCTGCGCTTTGTAATGGATTCTTGTTCAATCACAAACAACAAAAAGACTTCACGCAAATTGAATGAAAATGATATGTTAATGATACATTTAGGCTGCTCCCGAGCACCTATTGAGCTGGGCGTGACACACGCGGTGACTGCTGTACGGCCAGAAGCCACAAGTGGTCATCTTTACTCCGTTGGGGTTACACTGCAGAGCAGTAGCAGCAGCAGCAGCCACGGCTCTCCACTGGCACGCTACAGCCCTGGGTCATGCTCGCAACTGCGATTCATCCCCCACTGAGATTCATCCCGCACCTCTTGATCAGCACGGTTGGCTACGTACGATGCGAAAGAAGTTGGACGTACGTGCGTCCCGGCCTCCCGAGCCATCACGTGGTTCAATAAAGTCAACTTGAACCGCGTCTCCCCGGCGCCGATGCTGACACGGCTGGGTCACACCGAGCCCGGCAAATAGGGGTCGTGACCCCATCATCGCTCACGGGGACGGGCCAACGGGGGCTATAGACAATTGTTGGTGCAGGGAGCCCCCCCCTGTGTGTGTGTGTGTAGTGAGTCCCCTGTGTGTGTGTAGTGAGCCCCCTGTGTGTGTGTGTGTATAGTGAGCCCCCTGTGTGTGTGTGTAGTGTGTCCCCTGTGTGTGTGTGTAGTGAGCCCCCTGTGTGTGTGTGTAGTGAGCCCCCTGTGTGTGTGTAGTGAGTCCCCTGTGTGTGTAGTGAGTCCCCTGTGTGCGTGTGTAGTGTGTCCCCCTGTGTGTGTGTGTAGTGAGTCCCCTGTGTGTGTGTGTAGTGTGTCCCCTGTGTGTGTGTGTAGTGAGCCCCCTGTGTGTGTGTGTAGTGAGCCCCCTGTGTGTGTGTAGTGAGCCCCCTGTGTGTGTGGGGAGCCCCCTGTGTGTGTAGTGTGTAGTGAGCCCCCTGTGTGTGTGTATAGTGAGCCCCCTGTGTGTGTGGGGAGCCCCCTGTGTGTGTAGTGTGTAGTGAGTCACCTGTGTGTGTGGGGAGCCCCCTATGTGTGTGTGTGGGGAGCCCCCTGTGTGTGTAGTGTGTCCCCTGTGTGTGTAGTGAGCCCCCTGTGTGTGTGTGTGTAGTGAGTCCCCTGTGTGTGTGTAGTGAGCCCCCTGTGTGTGTGTGTTTAGTGAGTCCCCTGTGTGTGTAGTGTGTCCCCTGTGTGTGTAGTGAGTCCCCTGTGTGTGTGGGGAGCCCCCTGTGTGTGTAGTGAGTCCCCTGTGTGTGTGTGTAGTGAGCCTCCCTGTGTGTGTGTAGTGAGCCCCCTGTGTGTGTGTGTAGTGAGCTCCCTGTGTGTGTAGTGAGCCCCCTGTGTGTGTGTGTGTGTAGTGAGCCTCCCTGTGTGTGTGTGTAGTGAGTCCCCTGTGTGTGTGTAGTGAGCCCCTGTGTGTGTGTGTAGTGAGTCCCCTGTGTGTGTGTGTAGTGAGCCCCCTGTGTGTGTGTGTAGTGAGCCCCTGTGTGTGTGTGTAGTGAGCCCCCTGTGTGTGTGTGTAGTGAGCCCCCTGTGTGTGTGTGTGTAGTGAGTCCCCCTGTGTGTGTGTGTAGTGTGTCCCCCTGTGTGTGTGTGTGTAGTGAGTCCCCCTGTGTGTGTGTGTAGTGAGCCCCCTGTGTGTAGTGAGTCCCCTGTGTGTGTGTGTAGTGAGTCCCCTGTGTGTGTGTGTAGTGAGCCCCCTGTGTGTGTGTGTGTAGTGAGCCCCCTGTGTGTGTGTGTAGTGAGTCCCCCTGTGTGTGTGTAGTGAGTCCCCTGTGTGTGTGTAGTGAGTCCCCTGTGTGTGTGTAGTGTGTCCCCTGTGTGTGTGTGTGTAGTGAGCCCCCTGTGTGTGTAGTGAGCCCCCTGTGTGTGTAGTGAGCCCCCTGTGTGTGGGGAGCCCCCTACGGCCCCCACTAAAGGGGGGGGGCGCGTTGTTCTCACCCTGCGTGTCCCCCCACTGCCAGGTGAGCTTCAGCTGCCGCAGGAGCTGGTCCAGAGCTTCCGTGCGGTCCCGGCTTCGCGCCGGCAGGCATTCCAGCTCACGCCAATCTGAGTACAAAAAATATATATACACACGCACGTTAATATATATACACACACACACGTTAATATATACACACACACACGTTAATACACACACGCACAGATAGAGATCAGTAAGCAGGGTGCAGTCTATACGCCCGCGCAACACTGGACAAACATTGCCAGCGACGGGCAAAGGTGGAGAGGGTCGACGGCCATTGCGGTTGAGGGATGGATGACGATGCTGAGGCAAGGGTGCAGAATTCTCTTCTCCGCCGCACCTCTGATCACCACGGTTGGCTACGTACGGTGCGAAAGAAAGAAGTTCAACGTCGCGCATCGCGCACGCAACGCGGCGCTGACAATTCCGCGTCCTCGGGCCTCGTCCTCGCACGAGCGTTATCCCCCGACGGCGGCGTTCCCGGGCGACGGTCGCATCGCTCCGTCACGGCGCTCACCTCGGCGCGATCGTGAATTTCGCGCGACGGTGCGCTCCTCCGGCACGAGTGGAGCCAAGCTCCGCTCGTAAAAAAAAAAAAGTCTGCAATCGATGGCGGTGGAGCCGGGGCAGAGCGGTGACTTGTGTCATCGCTCTTCCCTCCCGTGAGTCACTTCCGTAGCGACTGCCACAGCTGCCAGGAGAGACCGTCTCTCTCTGACAGGTGAATGCTCCAGCGATGAGCGGTTCACCGTCGCGAGCGGTGACGTGGCCCCCACGTAAGGCAATCGGCTTGAACTCTACTCACACCGGGAGGAAGGTTCCCCCGTTGAGCGCTGTGAGCGAGCGTTATATATTGTTGTTACCAGGGTCCTGCCAAGTTTTTGCAGTAAGGGGGGGCGGGCGATGGTCGCTCGGTCAAATCCCAAATGAGTCATTTGCGGTGTCATTTTTCAAATGTGGAACAATTTGGACCACGACGGCCGGCCCGTAATGGCCTGGCTCTCACATATTCGGTCTCCCCAATGGAACGTCTCCGCACCGACCGCCCCAAACGGGAACGGCACACGCCTGACGCGGTGCGAGCCGAAACCGCGCCCGGCCGCCCTCGCCTCCCCCGCTCGCTAACGCCGTGAGCGTGCGTGACATCGGGCACCCGGAGTCGACCTCGGGGGCATGGCCACGATAGGCATCGGATGGAGCCTACCGACGGGGTGGGTGTGCGTGTGCACCGTGGAATTCGGAAATGAACGCGCGTCGCTCGAACGGAATTGCATTGGGCCGACGCCTCGGCGGCCCCTGCTGCCCCACGCACGCACCGCTGAGGTTCGATCAGATTGACCTTTACAACTGTGCCACACGAAGGTCAGCACGGCAAAGGCCTCCGCTTTTAATTTGCTGTCATTTAAAATGACGGCGGTTAAGAAGGGCCGGAGGTGGTGGCACGGGGTGGGGGGGGGGGGGGGGAGGGGGGGGGGCCGGCGTGCGGGGGAGGGGATTGGCGATGTAATTGGAAGACGTGAGCTCAATTGCTCATTGGGCCAGTTTAATTTGACCTGTTTGGGTCAAAGGGCACGAGGTGGCCACTGGGCTAGGCGGCAGCAGGGCAGCCGAACCCAAGTTCCCGTCCCCTGCGTGTCACCCAGCGGGCAGATGAATGCCACGTAGCCACGCTCCGTGACTCAGGACCAGGCCTCGTCCCAGCGAGTGGCTCCGTGATCGCCACCTGCCCCCCTCCCCCCACCTCCCCCCACCATCATTTCCCTCTCCTCCCTTCCCTCTAAACTAAGCGCAAAAAGCAGTTCCAAAGAAATGGGGTTTCAACTTCGATTTAAAAGTACATGGCTCCCGGTGGCTTCCCAATATCAAAAGGAAGAGCGTTCCAGACGGCCGCATAAAGAGCATACTGAAGGTGCGGCGGTGCGGCGAGCGTCTTTGCTCGACGGTTCGCCAAAAACCGCCGCGGCTGCAGCGAGGATGACCGGGAGTTGGCGTGACGGTTCGCGCGTCTCGACGAGGCCGTGCGAGGTGTCGTGGTTACGTCCGTGGCAAGCGAGCGGGCGGCGCCGCGATCGAGGCGGAGGGGGAGAGACGCGGGGACTCACTTGAGGGAATGGCGAAGGCGGGGACGGAGCACTGGGGGGGTCCCCAGCCCTTCATGTTGTAGGCAGAGACGCGCACGTAGCACGGGACGCCCTGTTGGGAGGAACGCGAGCACACACGGACACGTAAGCGCGTGAAACGTATGTGCGTATGCATGTTGAACTTCTTTCACACCGTACGTAGCCAATCGTGGTAATCGGGGGTGCGTCGGAAGGACAACAAACTAGACACAAAAGTCAGGACTTAATGTTCTAGATTTAAAGCTTTCGTGACTGCTAGGATCCATACTCTTTGGTTCTATTGGGTAAAGTCACATAGGTGAAAATAAAATAACAAAAAATCACGACGTTTCGGCCACAACACAAGCGGCCTTCATCAGGTGAAGTGACGAGACTGTCTCCAGCGCTGTCCTCCAGACAGTCTCGTCCCTTCACCTGATGAAGGCCGCTTGTGTTGTGGCCGAAACGTTGTGATTTTTTGTTATTTTATTTTCACCTACGTGACTTTACCCAATAGAACCAAAGATTATAGGACTTAATGTTGTTTTAATCCCCCAAAATATTGAGCAATAGTCAACTAAACTTTGTTAAAAATTTTAATAGGTAAGGCTCACCGAGCTATGTAGATATTTTTTTCAGAAGCGACCTGGCCACAAATGATAGCTCAACGAAGTGACGAAGTGGCTTATCACGTGGAAATTTATAGCATCCAAATACTCTAAACGCGTGTTGATTCTAAATGTGGAGGGAAAAACCGGAGGACCCCGAGGCAAATCCACGCGACCATGGGCAGAGAGACTCACAAACTCCACGGCCCCCTGTATACCAGGCGAGTTAGTTAACATCTCGCCACCGCGGTGATGAGATGTTAGGCGACGATGCAGGGCTCTTTAGTTGGGATCTTGGACCCCGGGGCCATCCCAGATTCTGGCAGTTTGAGGTGGTGATGCTGCAATCTGAGACCATGAATTGAGTTTTTGCTCAAAGACGAGTTGGTGGTCAGCATCGAAGCAAACCGTGCTCATGGGAGGCGCCAAACCACCGCCAGACACGATGGGGAAATGTCCCGGACTGTTTGTCGGCAACGCTGGTACTGAGCACAGAGCGAATTACCGCCACGAGCAACCCGCTCACAGACGCTGCCGAGAATTATCACGGACAAGTAGCCTGGGGTGGGCTCTGCGGGCTCCGTATTGGTGAAGCGTCACTCATCACTCGAGACGAAGAGAAGCTGACAAGTTGAGTTTTACTGCTGGACTGAGCGTCCGTCAAAAACTACAGCTTCAAAAACAAGAATGTCAACAAGTTGCCTGACCATTGTGGGGGGAAGTGGGCACGATATAAGACTCAGGTGCGTGAATATTTATTAGTTGTGTTATCCCCCCTATATGTAATATAGGGGGGGGGGGGTAAAGCACAGTCCGTGATACCACGTGAGATAACGCATACAGGCCGAACAAACACTGAGGTTTGTGGGTAGCATCCGTGCAACCGCTTATTCCGACTCACGCGACGTCATTCAGTTCACTCGATTGCATCATATCCAATTCGCATCCGCAATGTATATTTAACAACAAATCCCTAATACATTCATCACATTGTATCCAATTTGCGATATGGAAAGACGCGGCGTTACGGGAGAACGGACTTCGCTGTGGTAAACATCATCTTTCAAGCCCTCTCTGGAGCACCGCTGGGATGTACACGAGATCCATGGAGTCACGCGTGCGTGCGGTGAATATGTATGTGAATCGGCGTTGCGGGGAGCAGTGTGGGATCAGCTGATCCACGGTCTGTGAATCGGCGTTGCGGGGAGCAGTGTGGGATCAGCTGATCCACGGTCTGTGAATCGGTATTGCGGGGAGCAGTGTGGGATCAGCTGATCCACGGTCTGTGAATCGGCGTTGCGGGGAGCAGTGTGGGATCAGCTGATCCACGGTCTGTGAATCGGCGTTGCGGGGAGCAGTGTGGGATCAGCTGATCCACGGTCTGTGAATTGCCGGTGCAGGGTGCAGTGTGGGATCAGCTGATCCACGGTCTGTGAATTGCCGGTGCAGGGTGCAGTGTGGGATCAGCTGATCCACGGTCTGTGAATTGCAGGTGCAGGGTGCAGTGTGGGATCAGCTGATCCACGGTCTGGCTCTGGTGAACCTCAGTCAGCACAGGTAACCGGAACGATCGTCTTGATTGTCGCGCAGTTGCAGAATCCATGCCCTGCAAACTCGGGCACGATTGTAGACGTGTGAAATGTGATCAGTTCCCCGTGAGTGGACACTGCACTGAGCGGCGATTAACGCCGTTCCCCGGTTGCGTCGCTCAGGGCATCCGCCTTCTCTCCCTGTTTACACGTAATTTCCGCTTTGCGGCCGAGTTAATCTTCAAGCGCTACACGTGTATGGCCGACTCAACAGATTTATTTTAATTAACAAATCGCCGCATTGTTACACCTCGGGCGAACACCGCGGCACCGCGTGTACAATACGGCACTCTTATTCAAACGTCTCCGGTAATTTAATGGGTTGTAAAGATGCAAACGCTGGGGAGACGTATCGACCAGCCTCGCTTCAGCTAGCTCCCCGAGGTTTTAAACATGATGCGTTTTTTTTAAACCAATCGGAGTTCGCCGCGCTGCATTACGACGAGGACGGCAGTGGGAACGTCGCGCTGTCTTCTCGAAATTATAATCCACTAACAGCCGCGGTGGCGAGATGTTATCCCCCTCGCCTGGTATGCAGGACGTCGTGGGTTCGATCCTTACCCTAACGCCTGCTGTATATTTGGAGTTTGCGTGTCTCTCTCTCTCCCCGTGGTCGTGTGGATTTTTCTCCAAGTCGTTCGGTTTTCCCTCCACATATAGAATCAACATCGCGCGTTTGGAATATTTCGCTGCATTTCCACGTGATAAGCTACTTCTTTGAGGCCAGGTCACTTCTGAAAAACAGCTATATAGCTCAGTGGGCCTTACCTGGTAAAATAAAAAGTTTGTTTTGGTTTTTACATCACAGCCAAGCTGGTAGCTGCCCTAGCCCATAATCTCCAGCGACGTGTGTTTTCGTGTCTACGAGATAATTTTTTTGGTGGAAATTTCCGGAAACAATCGCTGCTACGACCGCCAACTTCTGTGAAACACGAACAAAAATGCAGGGTAATAATCGCGGCCACAGTCTCTAAACTTCTTTCTCACAACCCCCCGGCATCACATGCATTACAGGGTAAAATAAAAATAGTGCGTACTTAGTTTAGTGTGCTTGCGTCAGACGTTTCCACTTGATTTTCCAACACAACACGTGACGTAAGAATGCGTCACTCTCATCAGAACCGTGCTTATACAAGGTGCATCACGATTTCGCGCGGGAGGATTCTCTCAGGATCCGCTTCCACTCCTCTACAGCGGTCGTGAGAACCTCCGACGAGCACGTGCGGCTACGTACGGTGCGAAATAATTTCCAACCGTACGTACACATGGCAAAGCAAGCCGGAAGATGTTTGGGGCGCTTGGCAAAACGGAGGGTGACGGCACAAGAGGGCGCTACCGGAGAGCGTGTGCACCGCACCGCACCGCTCGCTCTCTCTCCGTAGCTCGCAAGCCACGAGGAGCAGGAATCAAGGCAATTTAACAAATTAGTAGGCTTTCGCGACCAATATTATCCATAATAGTTTTTTTTTTTGGGTGACGCAGCCAATTAGTAAGGTTTGTCACGCAAACAAAACATGCCGATTTGTTACTAGTTCAGGACACCGGTGTGTTGGAGAGTTTGAATTGTAAAATGTTGTGGGTTCCCTCAAACCGGTGTGGTGAACTTGTAACGAATTGGCATGTTGTGTTTACGTGACCATATTTACTAGTTGGCTGTGTCGGGTGGTGGTCGGTTTAACGACGCATTTATATTTTACGCGATCTAACCCAAAAACGTCTATTATGAGTAATCAAGGCGTTGCGGAGCGTGTCAGCGGGAGTGCTCTCAGTGTAACCAAGTCAATGAATGGGGAGCGTGGCGCTGGCGGTATAAGCCCACGTTTTCCAGAGCGCATCCAAATGTATGCATGTATGTACTGTACAGTGAGGGAAAAAAGTATTTGATCCCCTGCTGATTTTGTACGTTTGCCCACTGACAAAAGAAATGATCAGTCTATAATTTTAATGGTAGGTTTATTTGTGAACAGTGAGAGACAGAATAACAACAAAAAAAAATCCAGAAAAACGCATGCCAAATATGTTATAAATTGATTTGCATTTTAATGAGGGAAATAAGTATTTAACCCCCTCTCAATCAGAAAGATTTCTGGCTCCCAGGTGTCTTTTATACAGGTAACGAGCTGAGATTAGGAGCACACTCTTAAAGGGAGTGCTCCTAATCTCAGCTTGTTACCTGTATAAAAGACACCTGTCCACAGAAGCAATCAGTCAATCAGATACCAAACTCTCCACCATGGCCAAGACCAAAGAGCTCTCCAAGGATGTCAGGGACAAGATTGTAGACCTACACAATGCTGGAATGGGCTACACGACCATTGCCAAGCAGCTTGGTGAGAAGGTGACAACAGTTGGTGCGATTATTCGCAAATGGAAGAAACACAAAACAACTAAATTTTGATTTAAAGCTTTCGTGACTGCAGGGATTCATATTCTTGGTTCTTTCGGTAAAGTCACGTAGAAGGGAAACAATAAAATAATAAAAATATAAAACAATAAAATTCTCACGACGTTTCGACTGCAGCACAAGCAATCATCATCAGGTGTGAAAACCACAGCAAGAAAATTTGAAATAGTGGCGGTTTTTTTTAACGTTAGCACCACGGAGAGCGATTTGGCAGTTATTCAGATGGACGAGTCCATCTATGTTCGGAAAAGAGGAGGGGAGAGACGAAAATAGTGGATGCGGTCTGAAAGCCACCATAAGCGTGAACAATCAATTAAGACCCGAAATGGTTTATCAAATCCTTCCAATGATTGCTAAGCCAGAATCCATTTTCTCGGTTGAAATTGTCTCTGTGTTTGTATATGTGGATAGCCTCATGAACGAATCTCTCATGGTAGCCATCTGGATGGGTATTCCAGCATGACAATGACCCAAAACACACGGCCAAGGCAACAAAGGAGTGGCTCAAGAAGAAGCACATTAAGGTCCTGGAGTGGCCTAGCCAGTCGCCAGACCTTAATCCAATAGAAAATCTTGGACGGAGCTGAAGGTTCGAGTTGCCAAACGTCAGCCTCGAAACCTTAATGACTTGGAGAAGATCTGCAAAGAGGAGTGGGACAAAATCCCTCCTGAGATGTGTGCAAACCTGGTGGCCAACTACAAGAAACGTCTGACCTCTGTGAATGCCAACAAGGGTTTCGCCACCAAGTACTAAGTCATGTTTTGCAGAGGGGTCAAATACTTACTTCCCTCATTAAAATGCAAATCAATTGATAACATTTTTGACATGCGTTTTTCTGGATTTTGTTGTTGTTATTCTGTCTCTCACTGTTCACAAATAAACCTACCATTAAAATTATAGACTGCTCATTTCTTTGTCAGTGGGCAAACGTACAAAATCAGCAGGGGATCAAATACTTTTTTTCCCTCACTGTATGTTGAACTTCTTTCGCACCGTACGTAAAATCAACAGTGCTAATAGGAGGTGCGGGGGAAAGACAACAAACTCCACACACGCGCAACAAAAAAAAAACCCCACAGTAGGCTCATTTAAATTCTTGCACGTGGCAATAAGACACCAATGTCGCGTAGAAGCGGAAGCGACGCACGGAACATTAGACGTGATGAATACAGCATCTAGATGATTTGTTTCAAAACGGATTTGTGTGCCAAGTTTTTTTGTCCTTACCCCACACTTCTGATTAGCACGGTTGGCTACGTACGGTGCGAAAGAAGTCGAACATACACGCGTACGTATGTAACAATAATACCCGCCTTCTGCTTCACATTGGGTTTTAAAGATCCCGTGACGTCGTTCGCAAGAGCGCGCCGTTGTGTCACGGTGGCGAGATGCTGACTACCTCGCCTGGTATACAGGAGGTTGTGGGTTCAATTCAGACTCCGACACCTGCTGCTGTATATTTGAAGTTTGCATGTCTCTCTCCCCGTGGTCGTGTGGATTGTTCTTCGGGTCCTTCGGTTTTTCCTTCACCTTTAGAATCAACATCACTGCTATGCATTTGGTGGCAGTGTGGATAGTGGAGGTGATGGTGGTAGTGTTGATGGTGATGGTGTTGATGATGGTGGTAGTGTTGATGGTGGTGATAGTGGTGGTGATGATGGTGGTAGTGTTGATGGTGGTAGTGTTGATGGTGAAGGTGGTAGTGGTGATGGTGATGGTAGTAGTGGTAGTGTTGATGGTGGTAGTGTTGATCGTGAAGGTGGTAGTGGTGATGGTAGTAGTGGTAGTGTTAATGGTAGTGATAGTGGTGGTGATGATGGTAGTAGTGTTGATGGTGGTAGTGTTGATTGTGGTAGTGTTGATGGTGGTTGTGTTGAGGGTGATGGTGGCAGTGTTAATGGTGATGGTGGTGGTGCTGATCATGAAGGTGGTAGTGGTGATGGTAGTAGTGGCAGTGTTGATGGTGGTGGTGGCGATGGTGGAGGGGGCGAGGCTCACGGAGGGGAGGTTGGAGATGCTGCACTTGAGCACGCGGAGATCCTCCAGCACGCAGTCCCCGCTCGGCGGCGCGAAGTTCTGGCTGCTGCTGCTCCACTCGACTGCACGCGGCGGGACACGGCGAGCGGGGGCGGGGGGGGGAGACATCGGCCCGTAGCTCTTAGCGGTAACTCTTAGCAGTAGATCTTAGTAGTAACTCTTAGCAGTAGATCTTAGCGGTAACTCTTAGTGGTAACTCTTAGAGGTAGATCTTAGTGGTAACTCTTAGCGGTAGCTCTTAGCGGTAACTCTTAGCAGTAGATCTTAGTGGTAACTCTTAGCAGTAGATCTTAGTGGTAACTCTTAGCAGTAGATCTTAGCGGTAACTCTTAGCGGTAGATCTTAGTGGTAACTCTTAGCGGTAACTCTTAGCAGTAGATCTTAGTGGTAACTCTTAGCAGTAGATCTTAGCGGTAACCCTTAGCGGTAGATCTTAGTGGTAACTCTTAGTGGTAACTCTTAGCGGTAACTCTTAGTGGTAACTCTTAGCGATAGATCTTAGTGGTAACGCTTAGCGGTAACTCTTAGCGGTAACTCTTAGTGGTAACTCTTAGCGGTAACTCTTAGTGGTAACTCTTAGCGATAGATCTTAGTGGTAACTCTTAGCGGTAACTCTTAGCGGTAACTCTTAGTGGTAACTCTTAGCAGTAGATCTTAGTGGTAACTCTTAGCAGTAGATCTTAGTGGTAACTCTTAGCGGTAACTCTTAGCGGTAGATCTTAGCGGTAACTCTTAGCGGTAGATCTTAGTGGTAGATCTTAGCGGTAGATCTTAGTGGTAACTCTTAGTGGTAAGTCTTAGCGGTAACTCTTAGCGGTAGATCTTAGCGGTAACTCTTAGCGGTAGATCTTAGTGGTAGATCTTAGCGGTAGATCTTAGTGGTAACTCTTAGCGGTAGATCTTAGCGATAGCTCTTCACGGTAACTCTTAGCAGTAGATCTTAGCGGTAACTCTTAGCGGTAGATCTTAGTGGTAACTCTTAGCGGAAGATCTTAGTGGTAGATCTTAGTGGTAACTCTTAGCGGTAACTCTTAGCTGTAGATCTTAGCGGTAACTCTTAGCGGTAGATCTTAGTGGTAACTCTTAGCGGAAGATCTTAGTGGTAGATCTTAGTGGTAACTCTTAGCGGTAACTCTTAGCTGTAGATCTTAGCGGTAACTCTTAGTGGTAACTCTTAGCGGTAACTCTTAGCGGTAGATCTTAGTGGTAACTCTTAGTGGTAGATCTTAGTGGTAACTCTTAGCGGTAGATCTTAGTGGTAACTCGTAGCGGTAACTCTTAGCGGTAGATCTTAGCGGTAACTCTTAGCGGTAGATCTTAGTGGTAACTCTTAGCGGTAGCTCTTAGCCGTAGATCTTAGTGGTAACTCTTAGCGGTAACTCTTAGCGGTAGATCTTAGCGGTAACTCTTAGCGGTAGATCTTAGCAGTAACTCTTAGTGGTAACTCTTAGCAGTAGATCTAGCGGTAACTCTTAGTGGTAACTCTTAGTGGTAACTCTTAGTGGTAACTCTTAGCGGTAGATCTTAGTGGTAACTCTTAGCGGTAGATCTTAGTGGTAACTCTTAGCGGTAACTCTTAGCGGTAGATCTTAGCGGTAACTCTTAGCGGTAACTCTTAGCGGTAACTCTTAGTGGTAGATCTTAGTGGTAACTCTTAGCAGTAGATCTTAGCGGTAACTCTTAGTGGTAACTCTTAGTGGTACCTCTTAGTGGTAACTCTTAGTGGTAACTCTTAGTGGTACCTCTTAGTGGTAACTCTTAGTGGTAACTCTTCACGGTAGATCTTAGCGGTAACTCTTAGCGATAACTCTTAGCGGTATATCTTAGCGGTAGATCTTAGCGTTAACTCTTAGCTGTAGATCTTAGCGGTAGATCTTAGTGGTAACTCTTAGTGGTAACTCTTAGTGGTAACTCTTCTTGGTAGATCTTAGCGGTAACTCTTAGCGGTAACTCTTAGCGGTAGCTCTTAGTGGTAGATCTTAGTGGTAACTCTTAGCGGTAGATCTTAGTGGTAACTCTTAGTGGTAGATCTTAGCGGTAACTCTTAGTGGTAACTCTTAGCGGCATATCTTAGTGGTAACTCTTAGCGGTAGATCTCAGCGGTAGATTTTAGCGGTAACTCTTAGCGGTAGCTCTTAGTGGTAACTCTAAGCGGTAGCTCTTAGCGGTAACTCTTAGCGGTAACTCTTAGCGGTAACTCTTAGCGGTAGATCTTAGTGGTAACTCTTAGCGGTAGCTCTTAGTGGTAACTCTTAGCGGTAACTCTTGGCGGTAACTCTTAGCGGTAACTCTTAGCGGTAACTCTTAGCAGTAGATCTTAGCGGTAACTCTTAGCGGTAACTCTTAGCGGTAGATCTTAGCGGTAACTCTTAGCGGTAACTCTTAGCGGTAGATCTTAGTGGTAACTCTTAGCAGTAGCTCTTCACGGTAACTCTTGGCGGTAGATCTTAGTGGTAATTCTTAGCGGTAGCTCTTAGTGGTAACTCTTAGCGGTAACTCTTGGCGGTAACTCTTAGCGGTAACTCTTAGCGGTAACTCTTAGCGGTAACTCTTAGCGGTAACTCTTAGCAGTAGATCTTAGCGGTAACTCTTAGCGGTAACTCTTAGCGGTAGATCTTAGCGGTAACTCTTAGCGGTAACTCTTAGTGGTAGATCTTAGCGGTAACTCTTAGCAGTAGCTCTTCACGGTAACTCTTAGCGGTAGATCTTAGCCGTAACTCTTAGCAGTAGCTCTTCACGGTAACTCTTAGTGGTAACTCTTAGTGGTAACTCTTAGTGGTAACTCTTAGCAGTAGATTTTAGCGGTAGCTCTTAGCGGTAACTCTTAGCGGTAATTCTTTGCGGTAACTCTTAGTGGTAACTCTTAGTGGTAACTCCCACCAGCCCCACGATGGGCGAGTGCTTGTGTCCACCCTCAAGAGAGTTGCTCATCGGGTCTCTTGAGGGTGGACGAAGGTAACGCGACGAGGTGAGGAGCAGCTGGATTGACAGGCAGCGCTCACGGGCGGCTGCATTGAATTGAGCGAGTGGAGGAGGCTGTGGCAATCTTATCCGGGCCTGAGGGCAGTGTCTGGGACAAACAAAGACAAAGACCCCCTGCATAGCCTTTAATAGACTGTCGGGGCAAGAGTTGTTATCGAGCACCTATGCAGGCCGGCGCCGCGAACGAAGGGGGTGGTTGTGATTGGCACCACGACCAGCCGCGTTTGTCTCCCCAATGCCGATGTTTACACACCGTGGCAGGTACTCGGTTTAAGGCTGAGTCGACCTAGGGGAGGCAAAGGACAGCCTCAGGTATATGACTCGCCGCTCATGTTAGCCATGGTCGCGAATTAAACTCGGGTTGCTGGCTTTGGGATTGAGTGCGATAAGCACTCCACCATTCACTCATATCCACACTAATATACTGTGTAAACATACACACAGATCCCCCATATAGCCTTTAACAGACGATTTGGGCAAGTTCTGCTTGCGAGCACCTATGAAGGCCGGCACAGCACACGGGAGGGTGGGTGGCCAGCACCACGCCTGGCCGCCTTTGTCTCCTAAGTGACGATGTTTACACACCACACCAGGTACTCATTTGAGGCTGAGTCGACCTAGGGGATGCTCAGGACCGTTTCAGATAATAATTTGTTTGTGTTGGCTATGAGCGGGAATCGAACTCGGGCCACCGGGTTTGTAGCGCAGCGTGTAAACCTGTCCACTACCGCTCCCTATAAACGCACTCGTATACACACATACAAATGTAAAAATACCCGCACACATATGCACATACCAGTAGTCACGTGCACACACACTGCTGTACAAACACGTACCTATGTACTACGAAGCCATCTGTGGGGACAATGTTACCCCTTGTGTGTGGCCCAAAAAGAGGGTGTGGCCCAAAAAGAGGGTGTGGCCCAAAAAGAGTGTGTGGCCCAAAAAGAGGGTGTGGCCCAAAAAGAGGGTGTGGCCCAAAAAGAGGGTGTGGCCCAAAAAGAGGGTGTGGCCCGACAGGGACAATCTAAACAAACTGTGACTGATGCTACCAACGTATTAAACACGAAGTCGGTGCACGCAGCGATAACCCAAGAAATGTCAGAACGTTAAAAAACACGAAAAAATTAAACTGCACGCATGGGCACACGTGTTTCATCGCGAGCGCGCTTTGTCGAGGCTGTGTGTCTCGCAGCGCCTTAAACCTAAATCTCTCATCTCAGGGCACACTCGAAAGGGCACCCCCAAGCGGCAGCTGTCCCTGTGTGGCCCCCAAGGTGGCTGATGGCTATGGATCATCACAACTGAGTGGTTTTGATCCAACACGGTGGTCCGCGAATTCCGGGGGCAAATGGATTTTCCACTCAGCTGCCCAGCGGCCGCGGAATCGTTCACACGCACGAGGGACACAGGGAGCCAGGGCTGCTGGGGACTGGGCGCCATGGTTTGTATGTATCACGTGTGTATGTTGGACGTCCTTCGCACCGTACGTAGCCGAACGTACTCACCGGAGGTGCGGGGGAAGGTAAAAAAAACTAAACACAAAAAGCACTTCTAAAGAAATGAGTTTTAAATCTGAATTTAAATCTAAATTTAAAAGTGGATAAGTTTAGGTTTAGGTGCACTGGGATGTGACTACACTTCGCCACACCCGTCAGTGCGGTTAGTCTTACCTCCTGCCGCGTAAATTACATGTACGGGTGCCAGTAAGGTACGCTCACACTCATTACACACAAAGTGCTTGCCACAAATGTACCACAATACCTTGCTGATCTCATCAAGGAACACAAACCGTCACGCGATCTCATCCTCACAGCAGTGGCTGTTGGCTGGCTATCAAACAAAAATGGTCACTGCGTCGCGTGCTTTCGGATGCCCTTCTGCGGCCGTCTGGAACGCTCTTCCTTCCGATATTTGGAAGCCACTGGAGCTATGCACTTTTAAATCATCTCGATTGAAAACTCATTTCTTTAGAACCGCTTTTTTGTGTTTAGTTTATCCTTCCCGCGCACCTCCCGTTAGCACGGTTGGCTACGTATGGTGCGAAAGAATTTCAACATACACACATATCCAGTGGTAC